GGAAACCAACAAGCAGCTTCCCCAGGCATTGCCCATCCGCGCAGCGGGGATCAGCCGTCTGGCAGGGTGCTCCGTCTGTCTGGGACGCAGGCGGGGACGGCAGGCCAGGCTTTCCGGATCCTAACTGTTTTCACATCTCTTTCAAGATGAGGAGACCCCCTGCCCCGGCTCCTGGCCTGGGATGGGATGGAGCCCGCGGTCCCGGGCCTCCTGGGGGAGACGCGTACAGGGATGAGAGCGTGCTGGCCTCACCTGCCTTTGCAGTTCACGCAGCACCAAAATCTCTGGAGCCAGGAGGCATCCCCCCTCCCCTGTCCAGGGTAGGAGAGGAAGGCGGTGCCGATTCCAGGGAAGGGAGTGGGCCTAAATCCAGCCCCGTCCCACTGCAGACACAGACTCAAGTGGGCACTAAGGGCTGGGAGAGGGAGGTCCTACTCTGGCCTCTCTGGGCCGCAGGGACCTTGCACCCAGCGCTCTGCCCAGCTGCCACTCACGATGCAGTCCTTTGGCCCTTGGGGGAGAGGGTGTCCCCATCCCGCCGGGGCATTTCTCTCCCCCCACAACATGCATGAACCCCCTGCCCCCCTCCAGCTCGTCCCTGGATCACGCAGGGGAACACGAGCGGCTCCGGCAGGCGTGGGAAGAGCCCTGCCGTTCTCATCTGCTGCTGCCGCCCCCTGCTCCCTTCTGCCGAGCTGTGCGGAGGCAGGGAGCTCTGGGGGGGCCTGGCATCTGCCGAAGCAGAGGGACTATTGTGGGGAGGGGGAAAGCATTGCTGCCTGGCCAGCCGGGAACAGGACTGTGCATGGAGCCCGTGCCGGCGGTAGGCCGGCTTCCTCCTGCCCCAGCTTCCCCTTGCCGGTCACGACTGGAGCTGCCCTGGCAAGAGCCGGTGCCAACCCAGACCGAGCCGGCTGCGGGAAGGCGCAGGGGCCCTGCCCGGCTGCACCCAGGCACGAGGAGCGCCCGGGCAGTCCGGGGTTTGCCGCGTCCGTTGATCCTCTGAGAACGCCGTCCCTGTCGGATGCTGTGCAGAGGCACCCCCTCAATAAAGGCGTTTCGTACAACGCGGGTGAGCCGGCGTGTGTGGTGGGGAGGAGGGAGGGGGCAGTCCGGGTGCTCCTGACCCCTCCTAGGGCATCCCATTTCTCTGCCTGCAACTGAGGCTGCTTGTGGCAGAACCGCTTCATTGAGTGACCCAGCGCGTGCCTTTTGGGAAGGGCTGGGTCAGCCTGCCTTGGCCCTGTGGGGCTCGGTGAACCACGTGCCAAGCATCTGGGCTTGTGCACCAGGCTGGCAGCTGGCAGCATGGGGGGCAGGAGCCCGTTACTTCCCAGAGCCGGCAGGGACAGCGGGGTGTCGCAGGGTGCTCAAAGGGGGCAGGAGCTGGGTACCCGCGCCTCGAAGAGCCACTTGTTTGCAGTCAAGAATTCAGGCCCCGGCCTCCGGTTTTCCATCTGAGGGCGCGGGTCGGAAACGGCAGCCTAGGCGAGGAGGGGGCCGTCGGTTCCCATGGGCTGGAGAGGGGGGCAGGCCGCACGGACCGTGCCCACGGCCGTCCCCGCTCAGCAGGGAGCCCTGCCCGGGGAATGCAGCTGCTGCCCCAAGGGATCCAGGCCCCAGCGCCCACCCCTGCGACAGCAGGGCCCTGCTGCAAGGCGGGTTTGCTGCGCCTGGAGGGGCCTGGCCTGACGAGGGCTTGGCCAGAGGGAAACAAGGAGAGCAAGCATGCGCCAAGCCCAGCTGCATGCGTCCGTCCCCCCACCCCCGCCCCGGCTCAGGCGCTGCAGCGGCTCCCCTCTAGCGGCCAAGCCGCTCGCACACAGGCCCCTGTGTCAGCTGCGCCTCCCAGCACAGGCGCTCTGCCGGCCCGAGCCCCAGGCTCCTTCCTTGACCCGGCTTGCCATCCCGAGCAGCCCTGGGCTGACAGCGGTGCGGCCTAGTGCCTGGAGCACAGGGCGGGGACTTAGGAGCTATTCCTGGCATCGCCCGAGCCCCGTGCCTCGGTTTTCCCAGCTGTGAAATGAGGGCACCGATCCCGAGCTAGGGGGTGAAGAGCTAGGGAGCATCACGCAACCATCTAAGGCTACAGCAGCTGTGCAGGCACCACAAGGCTCTTGTGACCGGTGCCAGCTGTGCCGCTGGCCTGCACTGGGCTCTATTAATGCCCCCCCTGCACCCTCGCGGGCATCTGCCCTCATGCAAAGCCCCTGCCCGGGGGTGTCGCTGCTGCCTGCTCTGGAAGGGGGGACAGGTGGCCAGGGACTGCCCCCCACCCCACATGGCCCCCCGAACCAGTTTCTAAGGCAGGGAGGCTGGGGGCAGCAGGGGCATTTGCTACCAGGACGCGGCTTGTTCTGCTTTCCCCGAGTCAGTGCCAGGGCCGAGTGCGAGACCCCGCGGCGCCTGGACCATGGTGTGAACCCAGGGCTGGTGGGGGGGTGCGCACGGATTAGGACGCCTGCCCTGTTCACGCTCCAATTCCTTCATGAGGATTAGGGGAAAGGCTGTTTCCCAGGCGTGGCCCGGGGCCAGTTGCTGGCAGCTCAAGAACTTCTCCTCGTGTCTCCCCGTTGGTCTGAGCCCGGAGTGTGGACCCCCACACCCCCCCAGCTGCAGGGCTGCCTGCTCACAGGGCGCGAGCCCCCATTTCACGCAACGTCCTTGGTTAGGCTTGTGGCTGCAGCAGCAGCTCCGGCCACAGGGACTGACCCCCTGCCCCTGCATGGTCCAGCACCCCAATTAAACAAGCCCACGAGATAAAGCCAACCAGGCAGGGAGAGACCTCTTTCTGAGACGCTGCCACAATGCTTGTCTGCAGACCCCTTCCCTGCCCGGCTCATCCCAGGACTCCCAGCCCTGGCGCGTCACAACGCAGCCGGCGCTGCAGCGCTCACGAGGACACAAGGAGCTGCCATGCCCCCCTGCTCACCCCGTCCAGGGGCTAGCCAGGCACTGCTGGCAGCCAAGCGCCCTGTCCGGGAGTCACGGGAGGGGCCGTGGGAACCCCAGCAGAAGTCAACCCCCCCCCAAAGAAGAGAGGGTAGGTACCCCTCCACCTCCAGGCATTGCCTCCCCCCAGCAGGATCACCCCCATGCCTTGAGGACAGGTGTGGAGGACTCTGCTCGCCCGGCAGGTACTCACCAGCAGGATGCAGGCAGCAGTAGATCACAGGGTTGCTATAGGGCTCCAGCAGCCCAGCTCTGCCCAATTTATAGGGCCAGCCCCTTCCCCTGCAAGGCATGCTGGGGAAGGGCTCTGTGATGGGGCAAACCTGCCCTACCCCAGGCTAGGGGTACCCACAAGCTGCCAGGGTGAGGTGGCACTGGGGTTAAGGCTCTGCTTTGCTAGCCCAAGGTGCCAGATTTGAGTCTAGGTCCTGGCCTAACTGCTGCCTATATGGGGGAGTGTTAGGGGCAATGATAATGCTTTGTTGGGATATGGGGTGCTCTTGCTCTCCCAGCCCTGAGTGCCCAGCAGGCACTGCCAGTGTCCTGGCACAGTTGGCTGATTGCCAGCACTGAGCTTTTTGCACTGAGGCAACCCCCCCAGCTGATCAAAGGGACAGAGCTGCACAGGGGCCCAACCAGCAGCTGGTGCAGCTCATTTCAAAAGAAGAATCCAGGCCCCATCCCTACACGGTCACACCGCAACACACGGGCAGCGGTGCACAAACCCCCGGTGCTGCCCAGCCAGGCACGCCGAGGGGACGCAGGCTGCTTGCATGCTTGGCAGGGCAGAGGACTGGGGCACTGCAGCTGTATTATCAACCCCCAGCTCAGCTCTGCTGCCCCCAGGCCTACAGAGATGCCTGTGGGGGGCAAGGAAAGGGCACCAAGCCCTGGCTCTGCCTGTGACCCGGGGTGCACCGTGTGGCCCCTCTTTGTGGGAGATGCATTCACTTGGAGCCCCTGCCCAGCGCCTTGCTGCAGCCTCCAGCCCGGAGCAGGGCAGGGATGGCAGGGCACGGCCCGGGGCTCTGGTGCACAGAGGGGGGATGGTTTGGCTCCTTGAGGCTGTTACCACCCAGCTCCCCTGGGCAATGGCAGGGAGAGGCCCTGATCCTGGCTGGGACCTGTGGGCATCACCTTGGGCCCCCGGGCCCCCCAGGGCAGTGCTGATCCACATCCAGAAAGAACCGGGAGACAGAGGAAATGCCATAGGTTTCTTTTGTGAGAGTAGAAAATACAAAAACCAACAGGAAGGAGGCTGGGGAAGGGGGTGCTGGCTCAGCTGGGTAGGGATGGGGGTGCCGGCATGGAGCAGGGGCTGGCACACGGGGTCCTGCCCTCCTCCAGGCTCAGGATGACACTGGACATGGGGGCAATTCTCAAGGGGGGAACGAGCAAGAGGGGGAAGCCCCTGGTAGCTGACTTGCTCCAGAGTGGGGTCCCTTTCGCGGGCGATCCATGCAGCTCCCCAAGCCGAGACCCTCGTCCTTGCCCCCGGGACAGAGCCAATGGCAGAGGTCCCATCATGGCTCCGAGGGGAGCAGTGCCCGTGCCTGGGCTGACCCCAGCCCCCTGCGTGGGGCGAGGGACTTGCACCGAGGGGTTGCCAGCAGCCGGCCAGGAAGGCCCCCAGGATCATGGTAAAAACAGGCTCATTTACACGTATGTACACATTTACAGGTGAAGGCACGAGCCAGCTCCAGGGCCTGGTGCCCTCAGCCACTCCCAGGCTCAACGTGGGCATTACTGGTGCCCACTGGGATGCCATTATGGACTGCAGGGGGTCACGGTCATGCCCATGGCCACCCACAGAGCTGGCTTGAGTCTTTCCATGGCTCAGCTGGGCATGGTTGGGAAGTGGCACGAAGGCAGAGGCTCTGCTTGTCGAAAACGTATGTACAATGGGGCACAGGGTCCACGTCTTCGGCATCTCCGGGATGCAGAGGCTGATCCTGGCACCGGGCAGCTGCTACCCGCCTCCGTCGGGGTCCGGCTGCCCGCCCTGCCCTGCTGGGCTATCCCCGCAGCTTGTCGTAGTCGCTCACCATCCGCTTGATGTGGAACAGCTTGTTGCGCAGGGACTTGCTCTCCAGCTTCTTGGTCTGGTAGTCGGGGCTCTGGAAGAGAAGCCAGAGGAGCGGGGAGGGGGTCAGGGGTGCTCGTACCCAAGGGGCTGAGCCATAGAGGGGGATAAAAGCCTCCTACTGCTCCTCGCTCCCCAGCTGCAGACTCGTGGCTACAGGACCCCAGGCCTCAGTACCCACCAAGGTCAACGGGTCTCTATGGGTTTGGCCCATTGGGTGCTCGGCTCTGGAAACTGGCCCGTCTGCACTGCGCAGCCCCCCTGGACCTGGCTCAGACCCACCCAGGTTGCAAACAGGCTGCGAGCCCTGGCTGCCAGCGCTACGGGCACAACCCGCCAGGCTCTGCCGGCTCCAGGGAAAGCACGTTTCTGCCCCTGAGCTCAGCTGGCCTGGCTCCCGTGCCCCGGGGCAGAAAGGGCTGCAGCTGCACCCCGGGCAGCAGGCGGGCAGGGCTGGTGCTGGGCAGAGCCACGCAGGCCTCTCTGCAAGCAGGACGGTGAGCTGGAGCACGCCGCTTGCCCGGCGCTGCGGCACGGCGTAACTGGACACCGTGGCGGCCGGTGCATGGAGCCGTAACCGGAGCCGGGCTTGACCGCTGGGTCACGGGTGCGTATGTTCCCGTGTCATGTGGATGCACACGGAGTGTGGGGGTGAAGGGGGCTGCTGCCAGGGCCACAGGGTCAGTACAGAGCCCTCATCCTTGCCCCGCATCCACACACATTGCCCCTGGCTAAGGCACTTTGCTGCTAAAGAAGAGGGGGCTCCCAGCCCCTTGGGGGGCCCTGACATAAGGTTTGCTCTGCCCTAAATCTGCAGGGGGTGGGACCCTGGAAAGGCCCAGCCAGCAGATGTGGATGGCTCCAGAGGTGCTGTGGAGGTTGCATCCCCAGGCTGCAAAGCCAGAGCAGGAGAGGCCGGGGCTTTGCAGCAGTTCTTCCCAGCCTGGGCTTTAGAGCTGGTTTATGGGACATGCTGGGTGCTGGCAATGCCCCACGGGGACACGGGGACCACTGTTCAGGGGGTGAGAAGCGAAGGGGCATCACGGTGCATGGGCTGCTCCATGCCACGGCCCGTATGCACGCAGCTGCTCCTGGGTAACTGGAAGCTGCACCGCAGCCTGTGGGGGAGGAGGGGCAGACGCCCGGGCTTTAGCTGCCACTTGCCACGGGGTAAAAAGCAGGCATGCGGATATGTCCTGCTGAG